GTCATGCAGCAGGACAATGATCCAAATCAACAGAAGTGCTGAAAAAGAAAATGATCAGGTTAGCGCACTGGCCCAGAAAAGTCCAGAGCTCATACTCATAGAAATGCACAAGTGTGGCTTTAAGAATGCTGTGCACAGAGAAATAAAGAAATGTAATGACTAATGTAGTTTGCTTATGCAGGCATTTTTTCTTCTTCTTTAAGTGGTGCTAAAACTAAGCTACCATGCAAATATGCCAATAGCAAGTTCTTTTCCTTCCCAGTTACATGGCTGGGAATGTGAAACCAGGGTCAAGTCATAAATCATTTATTGTCCCACTCCTTAATAAAAGGTTTAACCTCCTAAGACCCAGAAATTATCTTTTGCTTTCTGTCTGGGATTTGACTCTGGGACATTTCTTAATTTATTTATTTGAATCCTGCTGCACGATCAAGGAGGCATCATGGGCTTTCTAATGATGCTACATTTGTGGGGGATGTGCTAACAGAGCACATGAACTTTCTTTCTTTTTAAAAATGGTGGAAATTGCAGCATCCATATCATTAAGGCCAGAAAGGAGGTTAAGTGATATCTTTTTTGTAGCTATTGCGGTTCTATTGCTTAAACTCAAATTCATTTTTTCAGTAAAAATGAACCTTTCAAATTAACCCATAAAAAGTTGATTCTGTTCATCTGGATGTTGCGTTTTCAGTGGAAGAGACATTTCATCACAGTGCCTTCTTTAATGTGGGCTGACTGCAGGTTTCCCCAACCTTATTAGCTGTAACCTGCACAATGACTTGAACAATGGGCTGTGAGGTGAGTTCCTTGATCAAGGAACTCACCTCACAGCCCATTGTTCGTCGGTGGTGATAGTTTCAGTCATTGTGCAAATTTACTGTTTATAAGGTTGGGGAAACCTGCAGTCAGCCCACATTAAAGAAGTCACTTGGATGAGTGACGAAACATCTCTTCCACTGAAAACGCAACGTCCAGATGAACAGAAACAACTTTTTGGGATTTTCTTACCTGGATGATTGAGCATGCATCAAGACCTTTCAAACACAAACAGACACCAGTTATGAGTTTGATTTCTCTATACTGTTTTTCTTTTATCCTGTCAGTTTATGTAATTAATAACATATATGCTAAATGTGCACTAAACTCTATGTCTCTTGTCTTTATCAATTCAATTTCAACCATACAGAATTTTTTTTTTAGGATGAAACATGAAAGCAGGGCACCGTTGACCACAACTGCCAAATTTCTGGTCCTCTGAATACATCAAACAGAAAACATGCAAACTGGTTTTAAAGTAAGATCTGAATTTACTGGTTCCTAG